TATATAAACGTATATTTATATTAATATTAATATTAACTGGAATAAATATTCTTGGAAGAAGTACTCCTAAAATAAAATTTCCATAAAATTTTCTTGTTCTAGCTTACTTGTAATTAATATAAATTTAAGGTAAAAAAACGAAACTTAAAAATAGCAAAAAATTATTATTATTTTAGAAAAAATACATAGATATAAAAAATCCGAAAAAAGCAAAATCTATAAATTTTATATATATACAAATATATATACATATATATATATATATATATATATATATATATATTATTTTATTTTACAAAATACGCAATACAATATAGTTAATACTCTAAATATTTCCTCATTTGTATTTATATTTTCTATATATTTTTATTTCCAAATTATTATCGTTAATCTTAATTCTTGAATTGTTGATAATATAAAAAAACATAAAGAAGGTACAAAATAAACATAAAATTCATACTTTTTTTTATTAATTATATATAATAATAAAAAAGTACATAAAATAATATACTTAATTTGATAAAGATATCCAAAAAAAAGTTAAACATGTATAAGAATCTTATACAGTACAATATAAAGTACTTACAAATGAAATCTTATTATTAATATATAAACATAATTTATTTTTATATGGGTTTTTTTTTTTACATTTATAGCTTCTTATTCAAATTAAGAAAAATTATTAATTAAATTTTGACATGAAATGATGCCTATTATAGCAATAATAGTAGAAACCAATGAAAAAACACTATTTTTTAGAAAATAATTAGTCATATCAATATTTAAATTAGCTTATAAAGAAATGTTGTTTTTAATATCTGAAATAGAGATATTTAAATAGACATTATCAAGATTAAAGTTTTGATTTAAATTAATATTTTAAGAAGTATTTTTATCTATGAAATTAATATCAATAAAAATATCTAAATTAACTATAAAAATTATAATCTTAATAAAATAAATAAAAATAATTTTACTTTTTTAATAAAATTAAATTAATCAAATAAATAAATAAAAACAGGAATATTTGTATCATTTTTTTATTAAACAATTTAAACTTAACAATGCCTTATATCAATAAATTTTTAGTCTTTATAAACTTATTCTTCGAATATTTAAATTTCCATTAATTTTTTGAATTAAAATCCATTTAAATTATGGAAATTTAATTTCATTTTACCATTATTGTTACTTAAAAAGTCTAATTATTTGTCATTTTTAAATGAAGTCCAATCTCCTATATATTAATAGTTAAACAATTCTAAATATTTATCGATTATTTTCTTATTCATATATTCATAAGAAGATTATTATTAAAATATATTATTTATTTATTGCTTTTTATTATTTTTATTATTTATTTATTTTTATTAGTTTTTTTACAAATTATGTGAGGTTCTTTATATAATTAATATCTAAGTTATTTTAATTATAGAAAATAAATAAAAAAAATGAAAATATCATAAAACTTTAGAATTTTATCATTTTTTTAAATGTTTATTATTATTACATATAATTTATTTAAAATTAATTTAATTATAATTAATATAATTATTAATATATAAAAACAAACAAACAAAATAATTAACATTTATATATTAATATTTAAAATTCTATTTTAAATAAATATAAATATTATATATATAATATTTAAATATATAAAAATAATATTTTTATAAAGCAAATATAAAAAATAAATATATTAAAAACTAAAAATATATCATAAATAAAAGATATATTTTAAAATTATTTAAAATTAAAAATAAAAATAGTACTTCACGATTATATTAAAATATAAATTTATAATAATAAAATTATTTTAAATATCTTTATATATTAAAAGATAAAAAATAATATATAATATATCAGTGATTAAAACAAAAATAAATATATATTTTTTAATTAGATTTAAAAAATAATTATATATATATATATATATATATTTATATATATATATATATATATATTTCAAATAGTAAAAACATTATTTATGTTTTTCATTTTTTTTATTCAATTAATTTTAGTTTTTTTGTTTTTACTATCTCCATTAATATTATCAATGTTTTATTTACTATTAATTTTCGCATTTTTCTTTTAATTTTTTCTTTTACTTTTTTTACTTATATATTAATCATCATTTTCAACATTATATTCATCATTTTCTTCTGATATAGAACTACTTTCATCTTTATAAATTTCATTATCTTCCTATATAATTTCATCTCCATTATTAATATTTTCATCATAATAATTTGTTTTATCATTATTTTCACTAGAATACTATATTTATAAAAAATTAAATAAAAAAAATAAATATAAATATACTGGGTTTTTTCCACTATCAACCATTTTCATAAATTCTAATTCAGTTAAATCATCACAATAATTTATTTATTTTCTATCTCGAGTGCCTCTTCCATATTGTTTATTATCATTTTTTAAACTAGGCTATTAAAATAAAATATAAAAATTAATATTAATATTATGTAAATATACCTAAGCCTTTATAAAATCAGGAACTTCATCTAAAGTACATAATCTATAATTAACCTTAATATTATTATCTTCTTCATCTTTTAAAACTTTTGATGATATCATTTCATATCTTTATAGTTCTTATTAAATTTATTCATAATCAATATTAATAAAAAGTTAATATTCATCCTAAAAAAATATATATAAATATATATAAATATATATTAATATATAATATATATATATATATATATATATATATATATATATATATAAATAAACATCATTTCTCGCTAACATTTCATTTAATTACTCATTATTTGGAATTTCATCATCTACTCCATCATATCTATTTCTTTTTCTCAACAAATTTTCTATTTTTTCTTTTCTATCATTATCTGTACTTTTTTAATTATAAAGTCCCGCCTAAATAATCATCTAAAATACAATAAAATTTTTTAAAAATAATATATTTTTATAAAATAAACTTCATCTAGTCCCATTTTATAAGCTGCCTTAGCTAGAATTTCTTCCTCAATCCATGTATTAGTGATTAATCTATATACTCTAACTTCATTTTTCGATCCTATTCTATGAGCTCTATCTTAAGCTTATTAATCCATTTACGGATTCCAATCTGAATCAAAAATAATGACAGTATCTGCTGTTTACAAATTCAATCCTAGTCCACCTGCTCTAGTAGAAAGTATAAAAACATTAATTGGACTATTAGCCTAATTAAAAAGAGCCATTTTTTACGCTCTATCATCTGCTGAAGTAGTTCCATCTAGTCTTAAATGACAAATATAATTACTTTTTAGTTTAAAATATTCCTCCATTAAATCCATAACTCTAGTCATTTAAGTAAAAATTAAAATACGATGTCCTGATTTAATTAGTTTATATAGCATCCTATCTAAAAGCTCGAATTTACCTGAAACTCTCCAAATCATGTCGTCTATTTAATATGCATCTGAGTTTATGAATAGATAGGGGTGATTGCATACCTTTTTTAGCTACATCATCAGATTCATTAGTACTTTTGTACCTTATTTTGACTAGAAATTATCATCTTCTTCCTAATTACTCCTCTCATTAATCTTCTTGAACATAATCTTCTACCATTCACTCAGTTCAACCTTTATTATATACTCGACCTTATCAGGAAGCTCACTCTCTACTTCTTTCTTCACTCTTCTGAGCAAAAAAGGCCTCAAAACCTGATGTAATCTATTAATAATCAACAGATTTTCCTCTTCCGTCAATGAGCTTTCCTTTTAGGCCTCCTACCCGAACTTCGAGAGGGGCAATGAGAACCATTTTTCAAAATCCTCACACGAAGAGAAAACTTTAGGCAATAAGAAGTTTAACAAAGACCATAATTCTGCCAGATTATTCTATAAAGGAGTCCCAGTTAACAATATCCTATAATCCGAAACATACTACTATCCTAAAATGCTAGCAAATTTACTCTTGGAATTCTTCATTCTATGTCCTTCGTCTACAATTATATATTTCCAATCGAATTTATGCAAAGTGAGTCTATCTTTTAAAATATAATCATAAGTAGTAATACATACATTCCATTTAGTAATTTTTAATTCTTTTGCGATTTCCTTTCTTATCTAGGGCGATCCTTTATAAACTACTTTTTTTATTTTAGGCGCCCATTTATCGAATTCGAGTACCCAATTTGACATTGTAGATAAAGGCACGACTACCAAAAATGGTCCATTGTTTTTTTTAACTTCTATTATATATGCAAAAAGAGCGATTGTCTATATAGTTTTGCCTAAGCCCATCTCATCGGCTAGTATTCCATTTAATTTATTATTGTATAGAGATATTAGCCATTATAAACCTAATAATTGGTAGTTTTTTAATTTTCCGCCTTCTAAAATATTCGGCTAGTGTTCAATTTATTCCTTTATTCTATGAGATAGATTATAATATACTTTATTTGAGTTTTTTAAATTAGCCGCATAATTATCACTTTGTGTACCAAATTATAATTCTTCGTCTTCGTTTTCATTCATTTAATCACCTTTTTAAGCCTTAATTTTAGCTCCAAGTTCTCTTAGAAAATTATCGGTTTATTTTAGTAAATCAAGGATTCGGGTGTGTTTTATATTTTTAATTAATTCTATATACTCATCCATATTTTTAGATTTTAAAACTTAAACACGTTCTTTGGCTTCTTTTTCTTTTTATTATTATAGTTTTTATTGTTAATTTTCAGTATATTAACGCGCATTATTTGCCCTTTTTTTTGATTGTTTACGAACTTTTTTATGATATTCGAAAAATTAACTTTAATGAATAAATAATTAATGTAGGAATTCTCTATGTTTTTCCTTACGTTTATTTTCTTATTCTTTTTTAAATTCAACATCAAATTTTTTAAAAGAGTTAATCTATAAAAAATAATATATATATATATACCGAAATAAACATATATATTTAAATTTTAATATATATATATTATAAAATACTTCATGTTCTCTTTATGGTTTTTCTCTTTTATAAAAATTTTTTTCCAAAAGCTATTTTTCGAAAATTTTAGAATAAAAAAAAATTAAGTTTCATTTATATGGTTTTCGTTTTTTAGTATTTTTGCGCGTAATTTTTGATAAAAATCAAAATTATTTAAAAATAGTTTTTCCGATTCTACTTTATCTTTAACATTTTTATTTTTAACTTATATTTAATTTAATTCTTCCTTTCGAAGTTATATAATATTTGTTTCTATTATTTATTATTGTTATTATTTCTATTTATTTTATATAAACCTTTCAATTTCTTCCTCTTTTTCTAATTTCTCATTATAATATCTTAATGATTTCATAACTAGACGTTCATATTCCAAATCAGATTATTCCATTGTCAAATTAAATACTCCATCTTCTAAATTTTGAGGAGAAGAGATATTTCTAGCTAAATATTTGTATATTTATATTTATTATTTTATTTAATTTTATTAATTTTATGATATTTCTGTTTAGTTTATATTTGTATTTAATTATTCCTTAAATAATTTATTTATATATAAATATAAATGTATATAAATATATATATATATATATATATATATATATATATTAATATATTTATATATATATTAATACTAATATATATATGTATTTATATTTATGTTAATTATATATTACTATCTGTAAATATTATGTTAGTTTATCATATGTTTACTAGTATTTATCTGTATAGGTTAATTTTTTTTCCTGTAGATATTTAGCTTGCTTTTAATAATAAAATAAAATATAAATAATGTTATAATTTTTTTAGATGTAAATCGTATTTAAAAAAAATATTTTATTTTAAAGTTTTATTTCAATATTATAGGGTTTTTAAAATAATTTATTTTTAGTTTTATTTTTCTATTTAAAATAATTAAATATTTACTTAAATTAATTGTTATAATTATTCTAATTCCATTTCTATATATATATATTTTTTAATTAATTTTATTTTTTATTGCTTAGTTTCTTCTTAATTATTTTTATTTTTTTTTTTCTTCTTTTATTTTTTTTTTAATTATATTATAAATATATTTATAAAAATATATATTAAGTATATATTAAATTAAAGGAATAAAATTAATATAAAAGAAATTTTTTATTTTTCAAAAAAAAAAAAAAAAAATAAAAAAAATAATCTTATTTGAAAATATATATATTAAAAATATTCAGAACATTTATCAAGAATTTTTAAATATTATTTATAATATTTTAAATATAAAAGTATAATTTAAATTATATAAAAATAAAATAATAATAATAAGTAATTTTATTTATTATAAAATATATTATAAATCATTTTATTTTTTAATAAAATGTATATAATATTAACAAAATTGAATAAAAAAATTATATAAGATAATGTTAAAAAAAATCTGTATTACGTATAAAAAAAAATACATATATAATAATATATATATATTTAAATATATATATTTTTTTATAATTATTTTCATATTTAAAATAAAAAAAAAATATAATTTTTTTTTATTTTATTTTAATTTGATACATATATAATATATTTTTATATTATAGTATTTATATAATTATATATATTAATAATATTACATTATAAAAAATAATAAAAAATCCCTCTATAAATATTAATTTTTTAAAAATTAGAATAATTATCATTTAAATTTTAATATAAATTTATTTCATATATGTTTTAATGATATTTAATTTAATGATTAGAATATTAAAAATATTTTATTTAATTATATTAACACTCATATATAAGAAAGCATAATATTTTTAAATACTATATTTTTAAAAACTATTCATTTAAATATTTTTTTCCTCTTTATAATTCTTTTAAATAAAATGTATATATAAATGTTATTATATACTTTTTACTATAAAACAATAAAAAAACAATAATAAATAAGTAATTTTATTAATTTTATATATATATTCTTAATTTTATTAGATAAATCAATGAATTCGCTCATTAATATAATTTTTTTTTTTTAAAAAAAAATAATTAATATTGTCTAAAAAATTTTTTTTAAATAAAATATATATAAATATATATGTATATTTTAAAAATAAAATAAAATTATATATATAATTATTTAATTAATTATAAGTATAATATTAATTAAAATTTTTATATATATATAAATATATATATATATATATAATAATATTTTGAAATAAAATAAATAATTTAAATTTAATTTATAATAATCATTTTTTCCCTATATTTGGTATAATAGTTGCTCTTCTTTATATATTTTTCCCTTACTATATTTCTTTTTTATTTTCTTACTAAAATTTTTAAATTCCTTATTTTTTTAAAAATTCTCCCTTATTTTTTTAAAAATCTTCTTCATTTGTATTAAAATCTTAAAAAGTACTTCTTCTTTCTTTTTAATTATTTTAAATAGTATTTTTTTAAATAAAATATTAATTAATTTCATCTTTAAAATCTTTTAATTTCACAAAAAAATCACTTTCCAAAGCTTTTTGTGCCGTAATTCTTTCCAAAGGGTTTTTTTCAAGCATTTTTTTTAATAAAAAAAAAGCCTATTTCGGAATAAAATTTAAATTTTCAAATTTAATTTCACAAGTTTTATTTTTACCCAAAACTTCTTAATGTGTATTACCCTCAAATAATTATTTTCCTACACAAAGTCTATAGAAAATACACCCAGCAGAAAATATATCACATAAGCAATCATAACTGCCTAATTTTTCAGCCTTAAATACCTCTGGAGCAACATAGCCAGGTGTCCCACATTTAATAAAATGATTTTATAAATATTCATCTTCTTTAATTGCCATACCGAAATCCCCTATTACCAAATCAAGCTCATTTTTATCTTTTAAGAGTATATTTTCAGGTTTTAAATCCCTATGAATAACCTTATTAGTGTGTAAAACGGCTAAACCTTCCAAAATTTACTATAATATTTATCCAATTTACCCCCAAGTTAACTTATATGCTATTTTTGAATTCAAAAAATGAGACAAATTGCCACCTTGAGCAAACTCCATTACAATTTTGATTGAATTTTCAGTTTAAAAAAATTCATAAAAAAAAGAATTTTCGGATGTTTAAATATTCGCATTATTTTTAATTCATTTTCAATTTCATCTTTTAATAACGAATTTTACTAAATTTCTTATTTATTTATACTTTTAATAGCAATTAAGTTATTTGTCAATTTATCTATACCTATACATACCTTAAGGTATAAATAAATAGATATATTAAAAATATAATAAATATAATTACTATATATATATATATATATATTTATAATTATATATATTTATTTATATAATTATATGAGTTTTTACATTAGAATTTGCACCATTTCCTATTACTTTCTATATTTTATAAAACACATCGAAGTTATTTTAAATTAATTTTCTTTTTAATATTTAATGCCAGCTTAATGATTATTAATTTTCTTATTAAAACTCTTCAAAAACAGTTTCTTGGTTATTTTTTAGAATTTTGAAACCTTTTATAATCATTTTTTTTAATTCTTCCGTATTTTCTACTATTAATTCGAAAACTAATTCAAATGAAAATATTAGAAATGCAATAACTTTATTATCCTACAATTTTATATATAAATATTTTGTAAAAATATCTTTAATTTTTTAATATATTTACTTATAATAAATAAATACGTTTTTCGTATAAAATTATTTCTATTTCATATTTTTTAGCTTGATTACTTATTAATAAACAGAATTTCGATTTTAAAATTTATTATTCGTCTTCGGGTAATTCCAGTTTTTATGATTTTACCCAAAATTAATCTAAAAGATTTGATATTTCTTCTTATACTAATGTATAATATTAATATTATTACATTTTTTTTGTTTTTTTTATTGAGAAGTAATAGATAATTTTATTTTATTTTCAAATAGAAAAAAAAAAAAAAAATTTGTAATTTTATTGAAAATTAATTAAAATTTTTATTAAATCGAAAAAAAAAAAACTAAAAAACATTAAAATGATAGAAAAAATGGAAAATTAAACATTAAAAGTAAATAACAAAAACAACTTAAAATAATAAAAAAAAATCAAAGATTATAAATTAAAAAGTATATCAAAATTTAAGAAAATCATCAACAACTGAAAAAACAGCAGCTGAATTAATAAATGAATTAGTTAAAATATATCCCGAATATGATTTGAATTCTCATATAAATTAACCGTTAAAATTAACACTTTTACATATAAATTCGTAGTACGGACACACAAATATAGTATAAGGTTTAATATAATAAAAAAATGTAAAAGTAGATGCCTTAGATATAGTAAAAAAACAAAAAATCTCTATATTTTTGTTATTAATAAATATTAAATAAAAAATAGAATAAAAGAACACCTTTACATTATGCAGCAATGAGTGGAAATATAGATACAATAAATATTTTATTATTAAATGGAGCAGATATAAATTCATAAACCATAGTAAATAATTCTATATAATTAAATAATAAAAAATATATAAGGGAGGCGAAACACCAATAATGAAAGCAGCATAATATAATGAATAAAATGCAATTGTATATTTGATTTCTAAAAAAGCAAATACAAAAATTAAAAATTCTGTAAAAAATTTAAAAATATAAAAATAAATAATAAATAATATAAAAATATACTTATATATATTTATATATATATATATATATATATATATATATATATATATATATTTAAATATTAATTATTATAGATCGGATAATCTTTATCAGATATATTAAAAATATCACATCCATTTGTATATACAAAAATAAAATAAGCTTTTCCTGATCATATATTTTGAAATTAAATTAAAATAATCACATTATATTATTTTAATAAGAAAAGAAAAAAATTAATAAATTAAATTTATTTATGATATATTTAATTAAAAATTTTTAAATAAATAAATATAAATAATCTATATTAATATTTATATATATATATATATATATATATATATATATATATATATATATATACATACACATTAATTTCTATATATATAATTTTTTATCACAAATATACTAAAAGTAATATTAAAATAGCAATTTCAATAAAAACAGTAATCAGTAATAAACATGAACTTGTTTTTTTAACAAGTTTTTACATTTTTTAAGTTGTAGAAACCATTTTTTCATTATTATCATCAATTTAATCCTCTAAAATTTTCAAATCTTTATTTTAATAATCAATTTCTTACCCTATTCTAACTCCTACATGTTTAGTTTTTATTAAAACCTCATTTAATTAATCTATTTATTAATCATTTATTTTCTATTCGTCTTTATATTTTTCAAAAATCTATTTTTCCTCTAAGTTTTCCACATCATATTTTTATTTAAAAGCATTAGTATTTATATTATTTTTATTTTCTTCTATTTTTTACTTAATATCATTAGAATTTTCGAATAAACTATCTAATTCTATTAATATATTTGCCAATTCAGTATGTTAA